CTTTGTTTCAGTTCCAATACTTGTGTTTTCATGACTTATGTAGTGCTACCCTCTTGAGGGCTGCTGTGTGCACATGCGCACTCCAACCCCCCATCGCAAACAGAGGAAGTGGAAGTCCTGCCATCCGACTGAGAGATGCTCAATTGCAGTCATGAGGCCGACCACCCTGACAAGCACCCTCAAGTGGCCGTCACCTCACACCGCACCTCTAATACATGCACGGCACCCAGCAGTGCAGGCATAGGAACAGAGGGCGGCATTTGTGGCCGCACATTGAAAACCAACCAGATTAACCCTTCTCCCCTCCTAGGGTAAATACACAGACATAATTAGAAAAGATACATATATAAACACAATAAAGTAAGAAATACCCATGCAAACAACTTCAGTATTTTTATAGACTCAAGTTAAGGACAGTGCATACAATCGGACCATTACATATAGTAGGGATATTTAATATATTAAACTCTAACTTTATTAAAGAAATCATATTAGGATATTCTAAGGATATTTAATATATTTATTATAATATATTTATTATATTATAATAACTTTCGGCTTTCTTATCTTTAAACATTAGGGAGGTCCTATCTGACTTATATAGGCTTTCCGTAATAGAGACTTGCTATATCCCCTTGCCAAAAGGCATGATTTGAGCTGTCCGGCCTGGATTTTAAAATCAGAGAGTTGGGTACAATTGCACTGAAGGCTTATGTGTTGCGTGTCGGGAATGCTGTGAACATTTGTGTTGGGATGGGCACTGTTCGTATACAGTATGGTGTTGCCCGCCATCTCGTTACAATAAAGATTTGTGGCTAAACATTTATTGTCATCAAGGAATATATGTAAGTCAAGGAAGGTGATAAGATGTGGATGAAAATTCACTGTAAATTTGAGGTTGTAGTTGTTTACATTAATTTTATCAACAAATGCACATAGATCTTGTACTGTGCCTGTCCATATTAGAAAGATGTCATCGATATAGCGAAACCATCCGAACACATGACTCATATAAATCCCAAGGGTCTCATCAGAGAATAATTCTCACTCCTACCCTCCCAGGTACAGATTGGCGTAGGCTGGCGCAGAGCATGTGCCCATAGCTACACCCTGCACCTGGAGGTAGTGGGAGCCCATGTAAGTAAACCAATTATGTGTGAGAATATAGTAAAGTAATTTGAGTATAAACTCATTGAACCTCCAATGGGATTGATCTTCCTCCTTCAAAAAAATTTGTACTACATCTACTCCCTGTTTGTGGGGAATGCTAGAAGAGAGGGCTTCTACATCTAAAGTTACTAGGAGAGCTCCTACAGTTATTGTTAGGCCCAATACTTGCTTCAATAAACCTAAAGTATCCTTAATCTATCATGAGGGCTGCTGTGTAGTGGGTATCCCTAAATCTCTCTCTGCACAGCCAGGCAACAGGTATTTCTCACACAGACCTGCATCCAAAGACAATGACCAGTCCATGGGCTTGGTTTTGTTGTTTTATTAGGGCAAATCAACTTGGATAGGGAAATATAGAATATGGGATGCCCAGTTTGGCTTGACTAAATGGAAGGGGGACATTTCTTTCCTATGTAAAAAGGCAGATCCTGGACTATTCTTTTCCTGAAAGCCATCAGTCATTGCAGATCAGTAGCAGCTGCCCTTTTTGGGCAAGGAACTAGCAGCCACTCAAAAATCAGCTTTACTTCTTCTAGGTACATGCATAGATGTCATCTCTCCCCCTGTAGAGCTGCTCCCAGCTCCACAGCCTGCAAACACTACCAGCCCTCCTGACTTCTCAGAATATCTCCCGGGACAAGGATACAGGATTGAGCCCAGCGCTGTCCTTAGAAAGCTTGCTATGTGTGGCAGTCTTCCTCCTTGTAGATCCCAGAGAGTGCTGCTGTACTCACTCCGTCCTCTTTGCTCCCTGCTGCTATAGATCTCAATCCCACTCACGCCTCACTGCTGAATGTATCCTTCTGAGCCAGCCCGAGCCCAGCCAGGATGTTGAGCCCCCTCCCTAGACCTAGGGACCCCTCCCAAGCACCAACAGTCTCCTCAGCACTCCATTTTCCACCTGACTCCTCTGTCAGCCCGACTCTCCCATATTTATGGGCCAGTCCACCATTTTATCAGGGCCTCCAAACCTGGGATTGGCTGGACTCCCATAAACATGCAGATCAAGTCTCCACCCCTTCCTGCTTATCGGCTTCTGAAAGGTTCTATGGGCCTCAATCACCAACCTCAATCACAGACTCACACAACAACCATGAGTCATACACAATGATTTTACCTGCAATACACTACACTAGTAGCACACTGGTAGATGCTACACCTATATTGATTTAGTCTGTGTTTTTCAAATGTAACTAGTTCAGCTCTTTGGACATGCTACAGTGGATATAACAAGTCTATGCACCCCTGTTAAAATGTCAGATTTCTGTGGTGTAAAAAAATGAGAGAAAGATAAATCATTGCAGAACTTTTTCCACCTTAAATTTGTCCTCTAAACTACAACTCAATTGAAAAACAAACTGAAATCTTTTAGGGGGAAGTAAACATAAAAAGCTAAAATAATATGGTTGCGTAAGTGTGCACACCGTCTTATAATTGATGAAACGACAAGAAGAAAACTGGTCTGGGAGGCTGCCAAGAGGCTTACAGCAACATTAAAGGAGCTTCAGGAATATCTGGCAAGTACTGGTTGTGTGGTACATGTGACAACAATCTTCTGTATTCTTCATATGTCTGGGCTGTGACGTAGAGTGGCAAGACAGAATCCTTTTTTCTTACAAAGAAAAACATCCAAGCCCGGCTAAATTTTGCAAAAACACATCTCCCAAAAGCATGTGGGAAAATGTGTTATAGTCTGATGAAACCAACGTTGAACTTTTTGGCCATAATTCCAAAAGATATGTTTGGTGTAAAAACAACACTGCTCATTACCAAAAGAACATCATACCCACAGTGAAGCATGGCGGTGGCAACATCATGCTTTGGGGCTGTTTTTCTTTAGCTGGAACTGGGGCCTTAGTCAAGGTAGAGGGAATTATGAGCAGTTCCAAATACCAGTCAATACTGGCACAAAACCTTCAGGCTTCTGCTAGAAAGCTGAACATGAAGAACTCCATCTTTCAGTATGACAACAACCGAAAGCATACATCCAAATCAAAAAAGGAATGGCTTCACCAGAAGAAAATTAAAGTTTTGGAATGGCCCAGCCAGAGCCCAGACCTGCATCTGTTCGAAAATTTGTGGGGTGATCTGAAGAGGGCAGTGCACAGGAGATGCCTTCGCAATCTGGCAGATTTGGAGTGTTTTTGCAAGAAACAGTGGGCAAATATTTCCAAGTCAAGATGTGCCATGCTGATAGACTCATACCCAAAAAGACTGAGTGCTGTAATAAAATCAAAAGGTGCTTCAACAAAGTATTAGTTTAAGGGTGTGCACACTTATGCAACCATATTATTTTAGTTGTTTATTTTTACTTCCCTCCACCTAAAAGATTTCAGTTTGTTGTTCAACTGAGTTGTACAGTTTATAGGTTACATTAAAGGTGGAAAAAGTTCTGAAATGATTTATCTTTGTGTCATTTTTTTATATCCACTGTATATACGTCACATAGAGTAATGAATTACGCACAAGCAGATGACTGCAATCACAGTCATCAGCTTGTGCTCATTTTGCTCAGCTAGAAATAAGATATGCCTGTGCTCAAATCCCAGTAGTTTGTACATGGTTATAATCTATCAGGTGCTAAAGGGATGTGACTACATGTTAATACTGGAAATTCTGGATGAACCCTCTGCACACTGCTATGTACCATTTCTAGAAAACTTTGCATAAAACAGGGATTTTTAGTTCACACAAATTCCAATGTGTTCTGCAAAATGCAAATTCTACAGTGGATATAGTGCCAAAACGGGGCAAATAGACACAAGTTGGAGCTACAGGTTCAGGTCTGGCCACTGACCTGCAATGCAATAGAAGTAAGACATACCTGTGCTCAAGAAATCCTGGAGTAACCCTCTGCACACTGTTAATTACCCTTGCCAGCAAACGTTGCAATAAAAATAGGGAGTTTTAGTTTAGTTGCAATACATGTTTAAGCTACCCAACTGCGTCAAAGTAATCCCTCTATGGCCAGTCCTACTCTGCTCTGCCACACACATGCTAACGTGAACACAATGCCAACACGGGGCAAACAGAAAAAATAGTGGGGAAGAGCTATTGGGTTTGGGTTTGGCTACTGACTTACTATGCAACAGAAACAAGACATACTTGCACTATATTGCCAAAAATATTGGGATGCCCTTCCAAATCATTGGATTCAGGTGTTCCAATCACCTCCATGGTCACAGGTGTATAAAATCATGTACCTAGGCATGCAGACTGCTTCTACAAACATTTGTGAAAGAATGGGATGCTCTTAGGAGCTCAATAAATTCAAACATGGTACTGTGATAGGTTGCCATCTGTGCAATAAGTCCATCTGTGAAATTTCCTTGCTAGTAAATATTCCACGGTCAACTGTTAGTGATATAACAAAGTGGAAGCTACTGGGAACAATAGCACCAAGTGCAATGCAAAGCATAGGATGCAGTGGTGTTGTAAGGGAATTCCTGTACAGCAACTGGCACATAGAAATGTGCATGCATGCAATATCGTGCATATAAATGAGCACAGGTGCATTGCTAATAGAAATGAATGCGTGCACACGGGAGCACGCATGCAGGAGCGTGCCCACAGTTTCTGGCGCCAGACAAACTATTTAAAGGAGGCTCTTACTCTCCGTCAGTGCTGACTGGTCTTCAGCTAATTCCTTGTGTCCTGCTGTATTCTGTGTGTATCCGTTACCGACATGGTGTGCCATTGACCTGCTCTTGGATTCTGCATATGCTTCTGCTCATCGGATTCTGATCCTGGCTTCCTCCTGACCTTGTCTTTGTCTGATTGTTCCGGTACCTCATTGCCTGCTTGTTGCTGACCCTGGCTATTACTCTGACTACTTTTCTGGCTACAGTTTGGCTCTACAGTCCTGCCGAGTGCTTGTCCTGGCTATCCATTATATCAGCCCCAGTTGTCATGCTGTGTTCCTGCCCCACGCTTATCAGAAGTTCCGGCAAGTCATGTACCCATATCTTGCAGTTCCAGTGGAGTGCTTCCTTAACCTCAGCTGGCCGTTCCAGCATCTCCTCTGTACCTGACTGGATGCCCTGCTTGATTCACCGAGGCTACACCACCAGCAACAAGTTCTACAATCAATACCCACAGGCACTCGTGTTTCTCCTGTCCTTCGGCATCATCTGTTCCACCTTCAGTGTGGCCTGTTTTAGAGATACAAGAAAGGCTGACCTCGTTAATTCAGACTTCTATCAGGTGACAGTACAAGTCAGACAGTGAAGGAGTCTGAAAGGGAGGCCTCTCTGCTCACTACACTCTGCCAGACAGTCACTGCACTATCCCATGCTGTGCAGGGGCTGCTCAATTATACGGCAAGCTGCAGTTCGAGTCAAGCACGTCCTCTTGCTCTGATTCTCAGAGGGTCAAAGATTCATCTGCACAGACTATGACCTGTACCTTTAATGAACTGCCTCCTGCTCCTGAACCCAGGGTCCACCTACCTGAACATTTTTCTGGGGATCATAAGAAATTCAGGACCTTTCAGAACTCCTGCAAGTTGTACTTCTCTCTTCTGCCTCGAACTTTCTCATCTGAAGAGGTGAAGGTGGGATTCCTCATCTCCCTGCTCCTGGAGGAGCCTCAGGCCCGGGCACATCACCTTTGGGAACTACATGACCCTGCTTTGACTTCTGTGAGCTCCATTTTTTTGGCCATGTCCCAGCTATATGCTGATTCTTTTCGTCATCAAACTGCTGAGGCCATGCTGAGCAACTTTCAACAAGGCCTAAGACCAGTGGAGGACTATGTTTCTGACTTTCGTCTATGGAGTGTAGATAGTGGAATAATTCAGCCTTGCGCTTCCATTTTCATCATGGTCTGTCTGAACCTATTAAAAATGAACTTACCAGGGTGGGAACACCTACATCTTTAGACGATCTGATTTATCTCAGCATCCAGATTGATCGTCGTCTAAGTGAAAGACAGTCTGAAAGGAGGAAGAACCTCTGCCATGCCCCAGCTAATTCCTGGGTTCCACCCACTTCCTCTATTTCGACCATGTCAAGGGACACTGCAGCCATCAATAAAACTCCTCAACCCAATTCTCTGAGGCCTCCTCTGTCTGAACAAGAACAATTACGACTTTGCCATTGTAACCTCTGCCTCTACTGTGGGAATGCAGGGCACTTTTTGCGAACTTGCCCCAGAAGACGCATTAGAAGATCTTCTTCCCCAACCCGCACAGTGGCCACATTGGACTCTTGTCGAACTCATACTACTCTGCCAGTTTCCCTTCAGCTACCAGCAAAGGCTCTTCCTGTTTCTGCTATTGGGGATTCTGGGGCCTGTAGCTGTTTCATGGACACCTCGTTTGCTGCCCAGCATGAACTACCTCTCTGTGCCAAGAAGAGTAGTTTCTCAGTCCATCTGGCAGATGGTTCCAACATTAAATCTGGGCCTGTCACTCTAGAGACTGTACCTATCCTATGTTCTACAACCTCAGAGCACTGTGAGTTCTTACGTCTGGATGTTATCACTTCTCCCTTGTTTTCAATCATATTGGGTCAGCCATGGTTGAAGGCTCATGATCCCTGCATCGACTGGTTCACTGGGGAAGTGACTTTCCAATCCAGTTACTTCAAGAAGTTCTGTCTTCCCTCAGTACCTAAGCCAGGAGAACCACTCCTCAATATTAATATAGACTCTGAAACTGTTAAACTGGATCCCACTGCTTACCATGAGTACCATGATGTCTTTTATTAAAAAAAACGCTGACTCTCTTCCTCCTCATAGACCATACGACTGTCCTATTGAGCTTTTACCAGGAGCTGAAATTCCCTTTGGATGAATTTACCCATTTTCTGAACTAGAATTGGAGGAGCTACATAAATACATTGATGAAAATCTTGACAAGGGGTTTATCAGACCCTCTACATCACCAGCTGGGGCTGGTATTTTCTTTGTTGAAAAAAAAAGGAAAAGCACTCTGACCGTGTGTGGACTACCAAGATCTTAATAAAGTAACCATTAAAAACCAGTACCCCTTGCCACTCATTCCAGAACTATTCCAACGATTGCGAGATGCACGAGTATTCTCCAAGCTGGACCTGAGGGGAGCATACAACTTAATTAGAATCAGGGAGGGTGACGAGTGGAAATTGGTCTTCCGAACTCGCTTTGGGCACTTTGAATACCTTGTGGTGCCCTTTGGTCTCTGTAATGCACCAGCTACTTTTCAGCACTTGGTGAATGACATCTTTCGGGACTTCCTGGACTTGTTCATTATTGTCTACTTAGATGATATTCTAATTTTTTCTGCTTCACTAGAGATTTATCAGGTCCATGTAAAAAGGGTGTTAAGTAACTTAAGAGAACACCGCCTTTATGCAAAACCCCGAAAAATGCAAATTCTAAAGACCTTCTATTCAGTTCTTTGGACTTATTATCTCTGCAGATGGCATTGCCATGGATCCTCAGAAGGTATCTGCAATACTAGATTGGCCAACCCCCACTGATAAGAAAGCAGTGCAGTGGTTTGTGGGGTTTGCCAACTTTTACAGAAAGTTAATTAAAGACTTTTCCGGTTTCATTTCCCCGATTACCCAGCTGACAAAACAACGCACAGTTTTTTCCTGGACCTTAGAGGCTCAAGCTGCATTTTTAAGACTGAGGGGTCTCTTTACATCTGCACCCATCCTTAAACATCCTAATCGTGCATTGCCATATGTCCTGGAAGTGGACACTTCTGAAAATGCCATGGGGGCCATACTGTTGCAACAACAGGGAACTAAGTCCTTACTCCATCCTGTCTCCTTTTTCTCTAGAAAGTTAAGTTCTCCAGAGGGGAACTATGATGTAGGTGATCAGGAGCTACTTGCCACTAAATCAGCTTTGGAGGAATGGCGTTACCTGCTGGAGGGAGCAGCACATCCTGTTTTTGTGTTCACAGATCATAAAAACCTTGAAGACTTAAGGGGAGCTAAATGTCTAAGACCCTGCCAAGCCACATGGGCACTTTTCTTCTCTAGGTTTAATTTCCATATTACATATCGGCCTGGGTCAAAGAATTGGAAGCCTGATGCCCTTTCTCGTATGTTTCAAGATACTGGGGTGCCTCCTGAACCTGACACAATTCTACCTGCTCAGAACTTCTTGTTAATATAAGCTTATCTCGTATCACAGATAAAGACAGCAGTCCTGGATTATCCTCCACCTTTGTCTTCAACTCAATGAGAGTCTCTACTTCCACAGTGAGCAGATCTTTGTTCCAGAGTAATTTTGAACAGCAATTCTTTACACGTGTCATGATCATCCTCTGGCAGGTCATTTTGGAGTTCATAAGACTTCACACCTAATTCTTCACTCATTTTGGTGGCCAGACCCAATGCAAGATTGCAGGGACTATGCTAAATCATGCACGGTATGTTTACAAAATAAGACTGATAGAACTAAGAATTGAGGTCTGTTAGAGCCGCTTCCTGTACCTAACAAATTATGGAGCATGATTTCCATGGACTTTATTGTGTAGCTACCCCCATCAGAAGGATTTACCACCATCTTTGTGGTTGTGGATGATTTGTCCAAGATGGCCCACGTTGTGCCCTTCTGCTGCAGAGACTGCATCTGCCTTTATCGTGGAGGTATTACGCTTGCATGGTGTCCCCAGTAACATAATTTCTGACCGTGGGGTAATGTTCACTTCCAGGTTCTTGCGGTCCTTATGTGAAGTGTTAGGCATTGAACATTTTCTGTCTTCGGCATACCATCCACAAACTAATGGTCAGACGGAGAGGACAAACCAGACCCTAGAACAGTACTTGCGTTGCTTTTCTTCCTTTGCACAAGATGATTGGGCGCCTCTTCTTTCTTTGGCAGAATTTGCTTATAATAACTCAGTGCATTCTGCCACTAAACAGACACCATTCTTTGCAAGTTATGGATTTCATCTTTCCTTTCTGCCTGATTTCAGTACCAACTGTGAATGATCGCCTGGAATTTTGGAGGTCCAATAACCAGTTCCTGCAAGAAGCCATTGCTAAATTGCAAGCAAACAATAAAAGGTTTTTTGATAAGAAGAAGGGGGGTAATCTGGATCTAGAACCTGGAGATAAGGTATGACTATAAACTGCTAACTTAAAATTGGCCTGTTCCTCAAAGAAATTAGGGCAAAGATATATCGGACCCTTTCCTGTAAAGAGGAGGATTAATGCTGTAGCTTTTGAATTAACTCTGCCTGAGAGCTTAAGAATTGACCCTGTGTTTCATGTTTCGTTATTAAAATGGACTGTTTCAAACCCATTTTCTGATCGGGAACCAGAGGCTCCAGCTCCACTGCTTGTTGAAGGAAATGAAGAAAGGTTGAAGCCATCCTAGATTGAAGATAACTCTTGGGAACCTTCCTCTAACGTTCATACTCCACAGTTGGTGCAGACTTGCCTTCGCCTTCACCCAAAAAAACAGACTATGGTTGGCTTCCGGAGGCTGCCCCTAAGGGGGGGGGGCAATGTAAAGGAATTCCTGTACGACGACTGGCACATAGAAATGTTCATGTGCACAATATCGCGCATAGAAATGAGCACAGGTGCATTGCTAATAGAAATGATCATAGGCTCGCACATGCGTGCAAGAATGTGCGCACACAGGAGCACGTATGTGGGAGCGTGCGCACAGTTTCTGGCACCAGACGGACTATTTAAACGAGGCTCTTACTCTCCGTCAGTGCTGAGTGGTCTTCAGCTAATTCCCTGTGTCCTGCTGTATCCTGTGTGTATCAGTTACTGACAAGGCTTGCATTGACCTGCTCTTGGATTCTGTTTATGCTTCTGCTCATCGGTTTCTGATCCTGGCTTCCTCTGACCTTGTCCCTGTCTGATGTTCCGGTACTTCATTGCCTGCTCGTTGCTGACCCTGGCTATTACTCTGACTACTCTTCCAGCTCCAGTTTGGCTCTACAGTCCTGCTGAGTGCTTGTCCTGGCTATCCATTATATCAGCTCCGGTTGTCACGCTTATCAGAAGTTCCAGCAAACCACTTACCCAGATCTTGCAGTTCCAGTGGAGTGCCTCCTTAACCTCAGCTGGCCGTTCCGGCATCTCCTCTGTTCCTGACTGGATGCCCTGCTTGATTCACAGAGGCTACACCACCAGCCGCAAGTTCTACAATCAATACCCACAGGCACTCATGTTTCTCCTGTCCTTCAGCACCATCTGTTCCACCTTCAGTGGGACCTGGGTTAGAGATACAAGAGAGCTTGACCTTGTCAATTCAGACTTCTATCAGGTACGTGACAGGTGTAAAGCATGGTAGGCCACGTAAAATGACAGAGCAAGGAGAGTGCATGCTGAAGCACACAGTGCGCAGAAGTTACCTACTGTCTGCAGAGTCAATAGCTAAAGACCTCAAAACTTCATGTGGCTTTCAGATTAGCACAACCTTGTGGAGTGAGCTTTGTGGAATGGGTTTCCATGGCTGAGCATCTGCATCCAAGCCTTACATCAAGTGCAATGCATAGCGTCGAATGCGAAGGGGCAAAGCACGCCGCCACTGGACTCTAGAGCAGTGGAGATGTGTTATCTGGAGTGACAAATCATGCTTCTCTGTCTGGCAATCCAATGGACTGGGTTTGGCAGTTTGAATTAGAGTGGAGACTGTGAGCCAGGCCTTCTCGTCTGACATCAGTCCCTGACCTCACAAATGCGCCTCTGGAAGAATGGTCAAACATTCCCATAGACACACTCCTAAACCTCGTGGACATCCTTCCCAGAAGAGTTGACGCTGTTATAGTTTCAAAGGGTGGGCCAACTAAATATTGAACCCTACAGACTAAGACTCTGATACCATTAAAGTTCATGTGCGTGTAAAGGCAGGCGTTCCAATACTTTTTGAAATATAGTGTATTTATACTGTATATATATATATATATATATATATATATAAAATGTGTGCGCAGTTAATATTTAGGAGCCTTCAAAGTATTGCACCTTTGATCAGTGGATTGGTTGGGGGGGGGGGGTGCATCTCTGGTTTCTGCAGTCTCTTCCTTAGCTCTATGTCTCTATGTCTGTACTGGGGTAGAGGCTTTTATTTGGAGAGCTGGAGGTGTCAATGGATGAGTGTTGTGATTACTGTACTCGTGTTCCAATGAGAGCTAAAAGTCCAACTACTGCAGATGTAACATTATTCAAAAGGGGGAGTTAGCCTTTAAAGTTCACTGAATTAGGGGTAACACATTACATCTTTCCAGACAGACCTTTCCTCTTGTGTACAGTGTCTAAAATAGCCCAAGGCCTATCAGCAAAAGCATCCATTTGTCCACTCTGCTAAAGTAGACCTGTCATGAGAGAAACTCAACGCTGTAGTTCTAACTTTCTTCTCAAAAAGGTTAGTTGACTAGTTGTAATGCTTGCCTCATTACTTTCTAAATTACATCGCTAAACTAGATTGCAGATGGGAAAAGTCAGATGTTCTTAACTCCATATGTGTTCTAGTCATTAACTCAGTAGAATGCATAATTAAACAAGAAGATTAGCATGACAGTCATAGGTTCATGGGGGGAATTAAATAAAGCATTTGCACTACTTTCTGGTGGTATGACCCTTTAAAAGGTCCTGTGCCAGTTTCATAAAGCCCTGCTGCCAGTTTTGGTTGCTTTACCATAATGTGTGACAGATTCAGATAGTGCCTAATAGTGCCACTTTTACAAAGTGGTGTCATGGCTACACCAAATAAAAAAAAAGATTTCCTCCACATTGTAGAAAACAAAACTGGAAGTAGCTGAGACTAACTCTAAGAGCTCAGAGTGCCTGTCTCTGTACAGTATGTAGCATGGCAGTATGTTTGCCGCTACTACCTCTCCCTTCCCCACCTGTCACTGACTGTCAAGAATGCGGTTGGCTTCACAGCCAACATGCACCTAGCAGTCAGTGATGCTGACAGTGGGTGGAGCCTGATGGAGAAGCTGAGGGACTAGCTCCCCCTTAGGCATGCTCTCTCCTTGTGATTGACAGCCAGCAGTGGGTGGATTCTATAGCCAGTTGTAGACTGTCTTTTGATATGGATCTGCCCACTGCCTGCTGTCAGTCATATGGGGAGTGGACCTGATGGCAATGAGGAGAAGATTTCTACACTATGCAGCAACCAATTGGACACTTTGGAAACTTCAACCCTAACAACTAAAGAACTGAAGCTTTCATTAAATTAATCCCTGGTAATTCTGCCATGAAGGTCTTTGTTCAGGAATTTCCTGTTTTGAGGTGACAACTGTCTCTCAGTTGTGCTCCTGCATTGTTACCTTGTCACATGCACTTTTCATGGACCATTACTCATGCATGGTCCACTAATGTCACCATCAGGAAGTCAGTCCAGAGCAATGATATTCATGTAGACAAGAAGTGATGCTGGAGAGAGTGCATGTAGACAAGAAAAAGACTGGAGGATATCAACAGCACTGGGAGGCAAATAAGGATAGCAAAAAGGTGAAAAGAGTATTATATTGAATATAAATGGTAATTATTTATGAAACACCAGGGTTTATTTACTAAGACTGAAGAGTGCAAAATCTGGAGCAGCTCTGCATGGAAACCAATCAGCTTCCAGGTTTTATTGCCAAAGCTTTGCTGAACAAGCTGAAGTTAGAAGCTGATTGGCTGCCATGCACAGCTGCACCAGATTCTGAGTGGTCCAGTTTTAGTAAATCTATTGTCCAGTTAGGATTTACACCTACTTTAAGGGTAACAAATTTACAAACTGGTTAGGGGGGGTTGCCTGATATTTGTGGGTATCGGCTACCCTCAACCCACTCTTCCCTAGATCAGATCTTGAACCTAGTAGATAGGTTTTTTCACCTCTAATGAATATTTAAAAAATTGGCTTTATCGAGCAAACACAGTCACAGTTTTACTAAAATTCCCTCATATTGTAGTCATCCTCTGGTTGAAGATATTTGTGGGGCTCCTGAAATAATATCTGATAAAATTGAACAATAGTACATGTAAATGAAAGTTTCACTTGGAAAGTGTAAAAAAGGACTCTCCTGAAATAAAACCTTCAGGACTTTAACTGCTTCTATCAACATGCCAGTTTGACGAGCATGAGGCTTCAAACCTGCAGCTGTGTTTAAATCACTTACCCTGCAGACTACAGTCAATTCCAGAAGCAGCCAAGAAAAACAGTGTCATTTCATAAATGGGGAATGAAAAGGAAATAAATGGTTTGTTTCAAACTGGCAATGAGAAAGTCGTGTTTTAGGCACACATCTCATACTTGTAGGAAATACGTTCTCGGTTGTTGAAGAGCTCCCCAATGGATACATGTGCTCTCTTCTTACAAAGTGCTGTGTGCACTGCAAAAACAGACATATTAGCATTTATTGTTTGATTATTTATTTCTTAAGGGCTGTATCTTAACACCCAACATTTTTCTGGGAAAGCAGTTAAGCAAATAGATTGTAATCCACATACATCCTGACAGCATATTTTCACTCTTAAAGATTTAGCAAAAAAAAAAAATACATTTATGTTTGTCTGTGTTATCTTAAGAACAAAAGTAATTTTGTAGAAGCTGGACTAAGAAAGCTCTATTTGGTATTTGTCGTTTGTGGTGGGTGGATTATAGATGACATGATCTCACACAGCCGAAGGTTATATGCAATATGAAGACAAATATAATTATTGATAGCAAACACAGTAGCCAGGTATAATGCTGTCTTAACTCCCTTTGGGGTTTGGCAAGCCAACTTTTAAAGATAGTTCATACAAAAAGCAAATTGAATGATCAAATGTTTTACCACTCTGCGATTACTGCAGGTGTTTTCTTTCAGCAGACCTTTTGACTTGCATCTTAAAGAATACCTTGTTCTAGTTTCAATGTGTACACAGAGAATAAGGTGCTTTCTTTCTTCAGACTTATTGACGTCGAGGAGATTCAATGGTGCATTCAAGATAAAAAAAAAAAAATACAGAGCATAAGTCTAATTAAATTATAATTGAAAAAAGTCACACAATTTGTTAGCCAATATTTTTCCTTTTTCTTTTGTCCAGTTTAAAATGATACTGTATTCATTGTAATAATTAGTACTTGGTAAGCAAACCAAAATTGACAAAGAATTTATAAATAAATCACCCACAACTGATGCCCACCATTTCCCAGGCACCCTTTTTATCCCCACAATATATGACTGAATCCCTGTTTTTACTAGGGCTATATGATTTATGCTGTTGCTCCCAGACCTCGCCTGCTCCCTTTGGAAATGTGATTAAAAAACAGACCCATGAGACTGGCTCCTTAAGATTTGTAGGTTAAATAAATACATTTAGTAATAATTTTTGCCTATGTGAAAGAAAAAGAGAAGTAGGGTGCTACTAAAGGTATCCACTGGATAAATGCAGATTGAAGATAAAGGTCACAGGCTCACCTGATTCTATGGCCAGGTGCACCATCCAGTTTTCACTCACACTTTTAACATGTATCAAGGTTAGACATCTGTAAATCCACATGTAGCATGTACTGATGATATATATACTTGAAATACACAAACATTAAGAGAAGGGAATAAACGCCCAAGCACTAAATGCGGTTTTGGGCCAAAACGTTCCTTTCCTGGAGGAGAATCTTCTGCATTCAGGAGAGGGAGGTTTACCTGGCCCTAAACTCTGCTGCTGTTTAAATCTGATAAAAGTATGTGTGCATGGACACATAGGCTTTTACTGAGTTGCGTTCAGGGGCTATGGCAAGAAAATGCCAAAAGCTCTTGAACTTACGTTTATGAGCTGCAGTGTGCACGAAGGTTAATGGCCAAATTCCAATGTGTTTGAGGCAGAATACTGTTTCCTCTTCATGGATACTCTAGGGACAGCCTAGGTACTATCACTTTTTTGGAACGGCTTTTTAACCCTTTTCTGCCTGATTACAGTAGCCCTTTGACTGAGCCTTTATGCTCCTGGGTAGTACAGACTTCCCCATCACATGATCATTGTGGTTGGCTGTGTGAGGGATAATGGAACAGCCATTTTATATATCAAACATTTAGTTTAGATTAAGTGGATATATATTGAATGTATATTTTGTTATTAGAAGTCTTATTGTGTAACAGCTGTATTTCTTGTGTTAGAATGCTATTTACACCTCCAGCTGGGAAGATTGCTATCTAAAGAAGCAATGGGAAGTAACATGTTTGTGTGAACCTCCACCAGAAACCAGAATGTAACTTCAAAGCAGCCATAAAGCTAGATTCCCACCCATCTTAG